AGTGATTCTGGATATAGCTTCCAAGTAGCAGCTGGTGAGTTTGACCTGCCACTAAACCAGGACTCTAGACATAAGCAATTCCTCACAAGGAGACCTAATATAATGTAACCAACTCCATGATGAGACCTGATGTGAATAGCCAATCAACTGAAAGAAAATTTTCTTGAGGGTGTGGCCTGATTCCTATGTATTGTAAACTTAGGCAAAGCTTGTGTGCTTTCTGCTGAGTGTGAACCCTGCATCTGGCTTGTCATCCAACTTCCAGTTCTTTGGACTTGATCCAGCGACCTGTTCTATTGTCTGTCAATCCTGGGAGTCATCAGCAGTCCGTCATCTTACCTGTTTCACCTTCTCTTCTGACAATATTGATTCATCTGAAGTGTCTACCTCTACAACTTTGTGAACCATTCCTTGATATAAGTTTTTGTTTATATATACATATAAAAGTTACACTTATTTCACTTCTCTAGAGAACCCATCCTAAGACAGGTGCCATTAGTTCAGTTCCAACTCCTAGTGAGCCTATGTATAAACAGAACAAAACACTGTCCTGTTTCTCTTCTACCCTCACAATTGTTGCTATATTTGAACCCACTGTAGCACTTACTGTGTTGTTCATCTCATTGGGGATCTTCTTGCTTTTTGCTGATCCTCTGCTTTACCAAGCATGATGTGCTTCTCCAGGGGCTGGCACCTCCAGATGGAATGTTCAAACTACGAGAGTGAGTAAAAAATTATCTGCACTCCAGTAATATTGAAACTTCTGTTGACTACACTATCTTATCAGCTAGAAAATTGATGTTTACAGTTTTCTGAGATTCTCATGGGCCACTATTAGAGCACTATCAGGAAAAGGGTTCAACAGTCAACAGTGCTCTTACAATGAGATGCTCACAGAAGAACAGAAATGTAAACTTCAGTTAATCGGAGAGGACTGCTATCCAAGAGCATTGTGTTCACACACCTCTGCCCACACAATTGACACTCTGCAAAAACTTCATTTGGAGGTGTTAAAGTATACTCCCTATAGTCCTGATCTTGCTCCATCAGATTTTCATTTGTTTTGGTCCTCTGAAAGTAGGCCTTCAAGGATGAAAATTCACCTCTGGTAAAGAAGTGAAGACAGCAGTGCTTTCATGCCTTGCAGCTCAGCCTAAAACTTATTAAAATAAGGGAATGCAAAAATTTGTTGACAGATGGACAAAGCATACAGAAAAGCAAGGAGATTATGATGAAAATGATGTATTTGTCATTTATAAAAATTGATTAAAATAAATTCTACAGTCAGACT